ACGTGGTGGGTGGACCTCCAAGGTGGATCTACCTCTTGCCCTACCATTACTTGATCCTCGACTACCTTGGCATCGAGCTCGTGTTGAGTGCCATTGTTCCCGTTCACGCCCCTCTGTTCTGCCGCGTTGGCGGAATCGGCTGGCTGCACCATCTCGGATCGCTTAGTTACTGGGATGACTTAAGTTGTCGTGTTCCCACAGGCGGCGCCAAATGTTTATGCAAGAAATTGCACAACCTCAAATTAGTTCAAACCCGATCCTTGCTCCGACCTGAAAGTTAAGGGAAGACGTGCATAAGAGGGCAAAATCTCTTACGCTCAAGTCAGTAAGCAGCTCAGACTCAATATTAAGTTCAAGGAGAAATTTGATACCTGATGGTGAAATGAGACCCTCTATTTATAGGTTTAGGTTTCGAATAGGGGTCGCGACAGGCGGTTCACTTGGTCGGATTAGAGGTCGGAAATGTCGGGTTCGAGTAGATCGAACTCGGACATTCTTCCCCAAAATGAAGACTTAATTCCTGAGAAAATAGTTGTCTTCCACCTCGAAGAGTTCCGAGGTAGACCTCCATAAAATATTGTTTCGGGTCTTCTCTCAATAGCGAATTGCTGTCCTCCACGTGACGGTCAGGTTTCCTCCCCAAACAATGTTTCAAGCTAAAGGAGTCCCTTAGCTTGGCATGGTTTGATCATTATCTTTGCTAGGTATGGTTTGATCATTAACCTGAATTTTCAGATCAAGTTACGTTGTTCTATGCAAACTTGAACAATCACTAATATTTGGCTTTGTCTATGAAGTTAACTTAGACTTTGAGCTTTGGTGTCAAGTATTTGGACAAATAATAGTACATATGGTTTGCTCTCACTTTGGCTTTAATAAGAATTAAGCAAAGATATTGAATGCAGTTAAAGAGTATGAGCCAACTGGCTAGCAATTCAATTTTTATTTGGACACATGACATATCTTAAATAATTATTTGAGCATGAATCAAGTTGTCACGTTGAATTTCATATTTTAAATGGTAGCAATAATGATTGTTTTAATCTAGAAAAAAAACTAAAACATCCTCCAATCCAACTTATCCATTTCAATTGTTCAAATAACTCTAGACGTTGCCGAAGTAAAAGAATCGCCAACGAGACATTCATGTATAAACGAAGTTATTTATGCTGAGTATTTCATAACTTTTCATTTTCACTCTCACAATCCTCTCATTGTATTTTTTTTATAATCCAAAAAAGTTCATTTTTAAGTAATATATGAAAGTATTTTTTACCAAAGACTAATGAAATATATCTATTTATCTTAAGTACTTGGATAAAATGCCCTCCAACATGTTTGAATTTCTCAAAAACACCTTTTAGTATGTAATCACACTGAAAAGTTTGATAAGTTTTACCATACAATTAAAAAA